AGCATCAACAGTCTATAGATGTTAGCTATGACAAAGTAGAAATAACGAGGGAAGGGGAAAGTAGAAAAAATTCATTGGTATCCACACCATAGGGTATCATTCAAATTTAGTGTGATGGAGTAGATGTTTAAACAAGGCAAAGGAAACTGAGCTAATTCATAAAGGTACACATACAATGCAATGAAGTTAGTATAGAGACCACTAAAACAAAAATATAGTCTTCCTAAATGCCAAAGATACTGATAACAAAAAGAAAAGGCAACCATTCATGTTGAGAAACAATGAATCTATTATAACAAAATTATAACAGAGATGAGGTCAAAGCTATTAATAAATAAAAGTATCAGTAGAATAAGCACTTTCCTGGCAAGTGCAGGGTGCTGAGTTCAATCCCCGGGGATTGTCCCCTGTACCAAAATTTAAAAAAAAAAAAAAATCTGTTTAGCCCGGGGAGATAGCTCAGTAGAATAAATAAAAATAGATTTAATTACTCTATTAAAATCTGAAGGCTAGGGAGATAGCTCAGCTGTCTAAGCACCTGCCTGGCAAGCTCAAGGATCTGGGTTTGATCCCCAGTACCAGCTACTAAACCAAGTGTGGTGACACACACCTGTAATCCCAGTCATGGGGAGGCTGATAAAGGAGAATCACTACAAGTCTGAGCTGCATGGCAAGACCCTGTACCAAATAAATAAAAGATTTTTAAAAACTCAAGTTGTTTTAAATAGCAAAGACAAACTCTATGCTTGATATAAGAAACACAAGTAAAACAGTTAAGAAGTTCAAGGTAATAATGGCAAAAACAGAGCAAACATATAAATATAATCAGAAAGAAGGTGTATAATTCTGTGATACAAACAAGATAAAAGTTAAAGCTATTGAAAGAGAAAAACAATGGTAATTAGAATCCTAAGCCACAATTCAAAATGAATACTAGTAATGAGTACACAACAAATAACACAGAAAGTACTCTCATGAAACAGGAGATACAAGGCCAAATGGACAAAAATGAACTCACACAGACAGTGCTCTCCAAAATAGGACAAGACATAAAAATTCAGAACATTACAGATCAGAAAAACCTTATAAAGATAGTTCTTAGGAATGCACATTGAGTCTTGCTCTCTAAAAATAAGGATTTACTTTCTCATGTGCATAGAAAAATCATTTCTGAAAGTTGAACATATAGTAAGTCAAAGAAAAAATTCAACAGAGTCCATAAAGAAGAAATTCTACAAATAACATTCTCTGACACAGTGCAATAGAACAAGAAATTGGCAACAGCCTGAAAATAAAAAAAAAATCAATTCTTTGTCCTTTTTCTTTTCTTAACTTCTTACAGATTTCATTTTTATTTCTTCTTCGAATTTTTCATATATATATATCCGGTAATATGAGTAACTAATTTGAAGACAACACTATGCATTACAACAAATATCATGAAATTCACATTATTTTATTTAGTGAAATTCTGAATCTTTTGGGGTTTTTTTGAACCTAGCAGATTTTAATGTTCATACATCAAACATATTTTTAGCATGTTTATTTTTCCCATTTTTGTCTATTTATTTCAAACTTCTGACAAAGACAAAAATGATTTAATGTCCTTAGAACAGCTGGAGAACTATTACTACAAATACTTTATGATATGTATTTCAACCCTAAACTGCTATTTAACTAGAACAAATTTAACTTCATTATTTCACTCCCATTCAGTCCAGATCTAAGGGGAGGGGGTGGCTCGATATTTATTGCTATGAACACGCAACATTTTTCTTTCCATGAAATTCCACCATAGAGTTCCAAATTGACATTCAAGGGAATGTGAAAACTTTATGTGTGCAAATATCAGAATATACTTGGCACCAGTGGCAAGCTTTTGTTTAGAAGTTTTGCATATTGATTCATATATCTTTCACTTTGTTGGACATAAGACATCAAAGTAAAAGTGCAAATAAGCTGTTAATTAAATTAGGCAAAAAATAACATTTTGGATGAACTTTTGTATGATTTGTAATTTTTCTGTCTTAATATTATTTTGTATTCTCTTTAAAAAGCAAAAAAAAAACCTTCAATCTAAAAGAAAAATAAAAACTCTTTTGACAATGCTTAGGAAAAAGTAGCAAAAACCAAAATCACAGTATTTCTACCATAAAATCTTGTTATTTTCAATATCCTCATTTCATTTTTTTAAAAGAGAATACAAAATGGTAAACAAAATTTAAAATGATACAGATTTTCACTAAATAAAATAAGAATTCCACAATGGTTACTGAAATTGCATAATGTTATCTTCAAATTAGTTGTTTAGATTACCAGATATAAACATACAAAATAGGTTTAAAAAGGGGGGAAGGGCCAGCCAAATAGCTCAGCGGATTAAAGTGCCTACTTAGGCAGAGGCAGGGGTCAGAGGCCTGCAGTGCCAGCCTCAACCCCAGGGCATGCTGAGACAGCCATTGAGACTGAGCATGGTTGTGTGCCTTTGTAATCCCAGCTCTTAGGAGGCTGAACACAGGCGGATCACTATGAGTCTGATCTATGTAGGGAGCTCCTATAGACCCTTATAAAAGTACAAAAAAAAAAAAAAAAGAAAGAAAGAAAGAAAATACAAAGGGAGAGTATTAGAGAAGAAGACAGTTCTCAGGGCTGGGACAAAGAGTGAACAGGCAGGATAATGGGGCATGGAAATAATCAAAGTATCTTGTATGCCAAATATTCCACTTATATACACAAATACACCAAAATAAAACTCATTATATATATGAATATATATGTATGTATATGAACATATATATGAATATAATTCAATGCGAGGTAATGGGCTTCAATAAACAGTGTTGTGATACCTGAACATACACATAAGGAAAAGATGAGCTTTGACTTTTTTCTCACACTGTACATAGGAGGAATTAATTTAAAATAAACTACAGACTTTAATACCCAAACTAAGATTATAAAAATTTAGAAAATATTTATAAAAGGCAATGTTCTTAATGTCAGACATCAAGAGTGAATTGACCTCAAAATGCTGGCCACAGTAATATATCTATCCTTTAAAACATTATCAGCTATGCAGAGGAATGAAATATTGAGATAGACCAAAACATGGTTGAATCTTGAAAATGATATGATAAATAAGAGAATCAGTCTCAAAAACTGTGTATTTATTTATTAGGTTTTTTAAAATGTATTTAGTACAGGGTCTGTAGGGTCTCACTACAGATTGAACTCGTGGTGAGCCTACTGTTTTCAGCCTCCCAAATGCTGGGATTACAGGCACACACAACCACACTCAGCCTCATTTGCTGGCTCAGCATGCCCTGGGGGCGGGGTCAGCACAGCATGCTGGGGATTGAACCTTGGTCACCAAACCTGCCTAAGCAGGGGTTTCAGTCCACTGAGCTATCTTATCTGGCCAGCCTTTAAAACTCTGTATTTCATGATACTTGTGGAACATGTCCAGACTGGGGAATCCCTAGGATCAGAAAGGACAGTCATTGTCTAGGGCTGAATACAGAAGACAGACACTTGAAGAGCAATGAGAAATGACTGAAAACATATACAGGATTTTCTCTGGGGTATGGGTAATGTCTTTAAATTAAACTGTGGTTGTGCATGCTTATAATTATAATAGAAAATATTATACTGTATATAATATGGGAGTGAATTCTACAGGAAGCTAAGGGTCAAAAATTTGCCAAATAATATATAGTTAGAAAAAGTAATTGGGGCTGGTGAGATGGCTCAGTGGTCTAAAGCACCTACTTGGAACAAGCTTGGCAAAGCACAGGGACCGCGGTTCAATCCCCCAGCACCACATGCCAGTCAGCCCCGCCCCCTTGTGGGATGAGCTGGCCACACACACACACACACACACACACAAATAAATAAATAAAATTAAAAAAAGAAAAAGTAATTAAATGAAAAAGGTCTAATTTGGTTCTATTCTTCAACTTCTACTTTCTTCAAAAACTGTAATCCCATTTCTTGGGGTATATGGGTTTACACTAACAAAATACAAAGAAAAAGTAAATCAATGCCTAGTTTGCATGTATGGAAGAATCTAATTAGGTACATAACTCATATAAATAGGGGCCATGATGGTTTTATTCTAACAAAAATCGATAAAGTCTAATGAAGAGGTAGAAAATGAAATCCAGTGGAACATAATAAACAAGAGGAAACCCAGCTCTCTAGGTCTAGTATTTTACATTTACATATACATTTGCAAAAAGTACCATCTGTAATCTTGAAGAGGAATCAGAGAATTTCAACTAAATGGACGATTTCCCAAAGGGGGGGAAAAAACCTGCCAACTATGAGAATGTGGAATGGATTTCTGGGCAAGTTTGAGCTTCAGAGTACAAAGTCCACTGCTGCACCGAGTGGCTCCTTCAGCTTGGATGAACTCCACAATGCAGTCCCGAGAGAGCCAAGTCAGCTACAGCAAGCCCAACAAAGGATCACTAGGACTTCCGGTGCACAGGAGGTGCACTGCCCTGGATGTAGAAAAGCCTTTTCTGCACCACTTCTACTTGATAGAGGCAAGTTAAAAATGCTTTGTAAGAATGTCATGGCAGCGCTTAACCACCACCCTCAGCTCTGCCGCTCTGCAGATCCCACACGCTCCAATTCCCTGATCCGCACCTCATAGTGGTTGAGAGGCAGAGATGTTGAAGGGCTAGGGTAGAAGTGTGGCCCTGAAGCATGAAACCTGAGAGTGGTGGCGCGAAGAGCTCCTGTCTGTAACTCACCAAGTAAGCCAGTCAGAAGGGTTATCGGTGGCTCTCAAGTTTCACTACGCCTTGGTCTTTTTCTCACACATAGGAGTTCATGAGCAACTCGAAGGAACATCAGTGTCATCCTTAGATTCAAAGCTTTCAGCCTTTCAATTTATTCTAACGCTATATGTAAAACATCCTAGTACTGATACATCCTTCTAATGTTCACTCACAAGGCAAAGAAACGATATTCAATTTGTTTTATTTTAGCAATACCTTGAAGCCAGGACTACCCGTTAATCCATCTTTTCCATGTCTTCCTGGTTCTCCCTGAAAAATAAAGTCATGTATTTTTAACTTATTTTTACACTGATTTTTCTTATTGAAAAAGGTTATTACACTTTTTTTAATTTAAGGTAAGATACTCAAGAACATTTTTTCACATTAAACTCACAGGACGTCCAGGAAGGCCAGGAAAACCATAGTCTCCCTTTTCACCTTTTGCACCCTGTATTAAAAATAACATTTAGAAAACTTCACTTAAATGTTTCTGTCTTAAACTTACAGAGAAAAGGTAGCAAGCAAACCTCGCCATGGAGTGGCGGAACTGGCAGAACGGGAAGCCAGGATGCTCTACAGCACGCGTCAAGGCGTGAAGTTTTCCAGCCCAGTGGGCACGATGCAAGCAACAGCATGGGGTGCTGACAGAGCAGAATTAGTACTCTAGCACCTAGACACAGACACCACGTCTTGGCAGACATAGAAAGCAAGCGGTGGTCCTGCCAACACCAAGCATGCACACTTCCCTGAGCATGCGGAGGCAGAAAGGCTCAAAGCATAGCCTCTCAGTGGATGCGATTTCAAGCAGCTTCCCTCCCAAGGAACCCGCACTGTGAATGCTGCTTAAACTCCAATTAAAATAGCATGAATTATTCCTATAGGATATCATGCACGGCAGTCACCAGACATTTCTCCTCTGTTTGCTCATCATTTTAGATAAGTGCTCTGACAAGACTAAGGTTGAGCAGAGATGCAATACAACTTTGCTATTTCCAGCACATTTAGGGCCCATGTGGGTGTTCTGTTGTAAGAGCCATACTTCCCTTTTTGCCATAAAATCCAGGTGACCCTTTATCTCCTCTTGGGCCCATTTCACCCTGAAAGACAAAAATAACAGTACTGAATTTTAAAGAAAATAAGTATTTCCCTTAGAGGAAAAAAGAACACAGATTATGATAGAATATAACATTCTAAAACCAAAATAAAATAATTTAACATATATCTACTAAAAGTCATGCTGTGCAGGCTTTATAAGGATAAACAAGTAATACAACAGGCCTTATATTTCAGTTTTTTTTTTTTTTTTTTTTTTTTTTGCGGAACCAAGGATTGAACTCAGGCCCTTACGCTTGCCAGGGAAGTGCTTATTCCACTGAGCCAGCTCCCTGGCCCCTATAGTTCAGATTTGAAGGTTGACAGAACTAATATATAATAGATTATACACAATATGTATAGTTAACTTGCTCATTTATTGCTAAATAGGATACAATATAATTATACATTTATAATTGTAAACTTTAAAGATTTTTTAAATTTTACATAAATGGTTATATTAATTTAACCTAATAATTTACTTTAATATACTTATGTTTATATTTATCTATGAGAATTTACTTAAAACACAATTGGATTATAAACATACTTTCATTTTAATTAAAATATGGCATCACTGAATTTATAAGTTTTTTTCAACCTTTAATCCTGGCATCCCATGAAGACCAGGAAAACCAGGAAGCCCACGGTCACCCTGAAAATAAAACCGAAATTAATTAAAGAAAATTTCCCAAGAATTATAATAATCAATAAGAATTAAAATATTGCATCGAATTTAATGTAACAAATATTAAATTCATAAATTCACAATTACCAAATCCATTAGAAACAAGTTCCCCACCATTTGAATTTGTATTTCTATGAAATGCTGTCTCTATGAAAATTAACCTTCATTATCATGGTGCTATTTGTAATCAGAGAGGGGAATCATTTTCAAGTTACAGATAGCTTATCAGCAATACTGAGTTGTCATTTATTCTGGAAGCAATGCAGAATTTTATAGGACCAAGACAATGAATAAATTGAAATGATTTACAGACAATAGTCTCTTAAGACTGCCAGCCTTTCCTGTCCCACATGGCTCAGTAAGGACAGATCCTAAGCTGAAAATTCAACACACTATGATTATGTGAGTTTTTAATAAATATTAACATCACAAATTTTCAGTGGTGTCTGTCCAGCTGTGTCTACAAAGATGAAAATCCTTGTACTATCTCAAGAGAAAACAGGAAGAACATTCTAATCACTGGGCATAGTTTATACATAGTTTATACATAGTAGTGTGAGAAATAGCAGACACCATTGCCGAGCTTCAAAACGTTAGAGGCAAAGACACAGTTAGGAGAGGAGCAGTGACCACCGTGCAGCAATCTGGGTCAAGTTCACTTCTGCGCTGGCAAAGGAAGATACTCAAACATACAACTGTCTTACTTTCCAGGGTGGAGGAAAAAGAGGTGATCCATGAATTTGTTATTGGTATAGTTTTTCAAAAGGTATTTCATATGTTTTAAGGAACAATATAGTTATTCAAGGCCTACAAAACTCTTGAAACTACTTTCAAGTTCCAAATCTCTGAGTTCAAAATGCTAAATACATGGCTGCCTTGCACCTACATTTTATTTTTCACCACTATCTTCTGCCTTCCTGCTGTGAATGAAGTGAGCTAGCTTCTGATAATTGAGGGCTAACTCACTTCTCCTTCGTACCTCCCCTTCAAACAAGCACAAATCCCCTTAACTTTTCTCAGTTTCAGTTAAATCAGCAGTCAGAGCTATTACTATTCATAGTTTCGCCTCAAGTATACTCCAATTACTTGGCTTCTCTCACTCAAATGTTTATTTTCCCTAGAATGAAAAAAATGCCTTTTTTGTTTTACTGATTCCCTGTGAATGTATTGCTATAGTCAACTTCTAACTTATTTAAATTATCAAAATCACTTTTAAACACAGTCATAAGCCTTGAAAGTGTCCTGTTCTTTAATTCTTACTTGTTTCAGAGCAGGACTGCTCTTCCTCACGTCTGTGTTTAGTCCTTGCTTGAGAGGGACAACAGCTTACTGAGGGGGGCCTGATGGGGGCTGACTTTCCGGCACAGTAAGCCTCTGAGAACGTCTTTATTCTCATTACTTCTCTTTCCTTACTTTATTCTAATGTATTTATTCGATTATTATCTGCATTTCATGTCACATGTAAAAGAGAAACTGGAATTTTTTCCTTTCAGACTTTAAAAGGCTTTGCCTCCTTCTTAACTGAAATGACCTCAGTGAGATGTCCAAAGTCTTCTGATGCTTGATCACTTCTGCAGTGCCTCCTTTGGGATTCCAGGGTTGCAGGATGGATTTTTCCCTCAGAAACCTTGTGTTTCTTTTTGTTTTCAGGTCTTGAAATTTTGTAAGGTTATGCACGGCCATGGTCTAAAATCATTCATTATTCCAGACACTTGACACTTTGTGCATATTTCAATTAGACATCCAACCATGCTTCAACATATACCAAGTGAACTTACAGTAGAAATAAGTACTGGGAAGGTAGAATGCTGGTGCTTTGGTTTAAGCACGGATTAGCCTCCAAAACTCTCAGGTGTTTCAGTGGAGCTTTTGCAAGGGGCCTGGCTCACTTATGGGGGTGCTATACTCATCGATGATGAATTAATACCTAAAAGTTCAGCAGTGTCTTGAATTGCAAACTTAATTTGGTTTACCATCTTGGGGGGGGGGAGGGGACACTGTGTTTGTGTTCCTGTGAAGAACATGGTTGTGGTCATGTTTGCCACCCAAGGTGGAGTTTGTGAAAGGAAGCCAAATTTTCCCAAATGAATTTCCAGACAGAAGCCTTCATGAGCCAAGGTATTACAGTATTTCCAAAATATACATTCTTATAATAATGAATTGAGGGCTGGTGAAATGGCTCAGTGGTCTAAAGCACCTACTTAGAACAAGCTTAGCAATGCACAGGGACCGCGGTTCAATCCCTCAGCACCACATGCCAGCCAGCTCCGCCCCCTGGTGGGCTGAGCTGGCCACACACACACACACACACACACACACACACAAATAAATAAATAAAATTAAAAAAAAATAATGAATTGAGTGACAATAGAAATACAATAGCTGGTACATTTCCAAATATATTCCTGATGAAGGATAATAAAGGAATCAAACAAACTACAAGATAGAATGAAGGAACAGAACCTGTATTATTCTGTCACTCGAAGCAAAACAGTCGTAAAAGTTGAATTTGTAAAGAAAAGTTTACTTTCCATATTCCTAAGTTTTGTAGTAACTTTACTTTTAGGTATTATTTTGGGAATATTTTTAGACATCATTTTGCATCACCAACAATTTCTGTTATCTTGAGTGGCACTCTGAGCAGTAGAAGGAAAAAGGATCCCTTGAGGGCACTCAGCAGGACTCCATCACTGCAGGCAAAGGTGTGCGACACTGCAGCTTTGTCTGAGAAGAGTTGCTGGAACGCCTACGAGAAGGGTCTCCCAAGGACTCGATGGCCTGGAACTCACTGTGCTCTCAGCCTCACAGGCACAAGCAGCTGCTGGGCCGTGGCTCAAAGGGCACCTGCTACTGCTTGAGCCAGCAGCTAACCCTGGTGTGGTCCGCACGATGTCAGTTCAACCATTATGCAGAACGCAAGAGCTTCAGGGACATGGAGGCTTAGTCCCAAATTTCAAAAGAAGGCCTGGGAGGCCAGTAAATGTGCTTGAGAAGACAATAAATAAAGCTGCAACGGTGAAGTTGAAGATACATTGGAGCACTCAGGAAGCTGGAGATGCCAGGAGTGCAGATCATCTTCTGAGACAAGTTACACGTAAATTGCAGAGTCATTCCAAGTGACAGACCATGTGGGCCACGACCAGTGAGGCCACAGAGAAGGGACCATCCAAGCCCTCCGGTGCTCACATCTGGCCACAACATGCTGTGGGAGCTGGATATGTCTTTCCCATTGGTTTTTGGCCTTTATTTTGTTCCATTCCATTTCCCCCCTCACTTTCTTTCTCCTGTCGGAATGGAAATATTTACTCTGTGTCATTGTGTATTAGAAGTACTTAACTTTTTATTTTCAGAGTAGGCCTCACTATGCAGTACAGGCTGGTCTTAACTCCCAGTAATCTGCCTGCCTCAGTCTCCCAAGAGCTGCGATTATAGGCATGCGCCACTATGTCTGGCAACATTCTCTTTTATTTTTACAAGGGATCACAACTAAAAGTTTACCTTGAGTCTCAATGGAGACCTCAGACTTGGACTTTTCAGTATTATTGAAATTGTTAAGATTTAGGCAGCTCTTAGATGTTTTACATAGTGAGATGGACATGAGCCTTTTGGGGTCAGGGTCAGATGTTATAGTTTAGATCTACGTACTCTCCAAAACTTTCATGTGATCAGAGGTAGGGATTTCAGAAAATGAATGGATTATTGGGACCATTATGCTTATCATTAAGTTGATCCATTGCAAACTTCATAGCCAGAGAGCTATTAGGTGGCAGGGCCTGGTGGGAAGGGGCAAGTGTTTTGAGCATATGCTACCCTCTCCATTTCCTCACTTTACCCTGATTCCTGACTATGTGGTGAGTGTCCTTATTCTCTCATAAACTTCTACCAGATTTCTGGTCAGCCTTGGAGTGGCTCAAACATCCATGGACTAGGATCTCTGAAACAGGGAGCCAAAGTGAAGCTCTCCCCTTTTAATTTGTGGGTGTTAGATGTTGTGTTTCAGCAACATTGCAAGTGACTGATACAACTAGTATTACAACCTAATTGGCATTTGTTACATTTGACAAGGTACTTTTAAAAAACATATGAGCTTACAAAAACTTGACCAGTTTGCAAGTAGTAGGTAAAAATAACCAATTATGTCTAAATATACTGCATATGCAAAATATTTTCTCATTTCTGACAGATAAATAACAGAAATGGAAAATAGCTTTAACAATTAGAAGTCCAATTAAAATTCAGCCCTGGGAAAGATAAAATCAAAGATATGGCTATAAACAGCATCCTTAAAACCTCTAAATCAATCAAAGTAACTCCAGCGAATCCTATCAACCCAGATATACAGTTTAACAAAAAGAGATTGATGAATAGAAATGTGATAAAAGTAGGTCACCAATCACTAAGAGCAGAGAGGTAGATGTGAATGGAATAACATGCTGGCTGCTGCTATCAGCTAGAAAGAAAAGTCAAGGACACAAAATTGCAAATATATATTATATGCACTAAGTGCCTTTATGAAGGAACTATGCCTGTTGGAGAACTTACTGTGTCTGTACTATTTTTAATGTCTCCCAGGACTAGCCAATGAATTTAGACAAGATACAGGAAAAGGGTAAAAATAAAAGAAAGTAAACACATTGTCTTTATAAGGGATCATATGGCAGCTGGGTGTGGTGGCACAACCCATATTCCCAGCACTCTGCCAGGCTGAGGCAAGACAGCTGCAAATTCATGTGCAGCCTGGGAAATGTAGTGGTTCAGCAAGACCTTGGCTCAAAATATACAATCTGGGGATATAACTCATTATAAAGGTCCTGGATTCAATCACAAACACTGAAAGAAAAAAAAAAAGAAAGAAAGAAAGAAAGAGTATGCCAATGTATCTAAAGCCCTAAGATAATTCAAAAGGGAAATATGCTCACTGGTGTTTTCAAATACAAATATACAAAACAGCTTTATATATATAAGCAATAACCAATATATAAAAGTTATATTAAGGAACACATTAAGGAAAGGTTCCTATTATAATAATATATTAAAGAAATATAATAAATGTACTAAGGAAAGGTTACAATTATAATAAAAGGAAAAGACATAAGAATTGTTCCATATATAATAAACATAAGTCATATGCAGCATCAATAAAAAGAAACCCACTTTCACATCATTAAATCAGGTTTTCAAAACAATAAAGTAAAAAAGAAATATAAGCCACAATCATAAATAGGAAAATGCAGATTTGGAGAGATGTCAATCCTTCTAAAATTAATTTATAAATTTAAAGGAATCTTAATTAAAAAGACAAGAAGAGAAACATTGAAGTGCATCTGGAAAAGTCCACACTCAAAAGATAACCAGGAAAGTTTTGATTATAAGGGATTACAAGGAAAGATCAGCCTTGCCAATACATTAAATCATATTATAAAGTAACAATAATTAAGACAATTTGGTAGAGGAAAGAAAAGAGGTAGACCGGACAATGCAACAGAATGGAAAGACTGTCTAACCTAAGGGAAATGGGAAAGGTTGTTTTCTCAAATAAATGGAGTAAAAGTGATATTCCATAAGTATTGTTGTAGCAATTGACCTTCCTCTTGGGAAAGAAGGAGAACAAAAATATGATTCTAACTTTTCTCCAAAAATCTAAAGTTTAAAAGTTACAAATAATATAGTTATAAAAGTAAAAGTAATATTCAAAATGCTAGAATGTAGAACTTTTCTAAGTAGACACAAAATCAGGGGCCCATTGTATACATAAAATTTACACACTCTGAGGCCTGCCAAATAGCTCAGCAGATTAAAGCACCTGCAAGCAGATGCAGGGCCCAGGGGTTCAATCCCAGGGCCTGCCGTGCCAGGCCCATCCTCAGGGCCCACTGAGATGGCAATTGAGACTACGTGTGGTGGCTCGCGCCTGTAATCCCAGCACTTGGGAGGCTGGAGAATCACTATGAGTCCAATCTAGTAGTGAGACCCTGCACACCCTGTAGACCCTTCCCTAAAATACAAATTTTTTTTAAAAAATAAAATAAAGTTTCCAGTGTAGCCTAATTAAAGTTTCACTAAGACATACTGTTCCACATGATGTAAACATATTATATCTCCTTAAGGTTGGAAAAGTATTTAAAATTCTTCATATTAAAAAGAACTTTTTATGTATTTGGTACAGGGTCTCATTATGCAGCTCAGACTCATAATGACCCTCCTGTTTCCAGCCTCCCCAGCACTGGGATTACAGGTGCGCACCGCCACGCCTGGTCTCCGTGGCCAGCTCAGCGTGCCTCGGAGGGGGCTGCTGCGGCCTGTGGTGCAGACATCAAATCTCAGTGCCTGCGTTTGCAGAAGCAGGCACTTAGTCTGCTGAGCTATCTCGCTAGCCCTTGAAAACAGCTTTTAAAAGCAACTAATAAAATAAAATTAGTTTTGAACTGAAGTCTATTCACTGAGTAACAGTTCCTTTTGGCTTTAGAAGTTCAGGAGGAAGACAACCTGAAAAATCTCCATATATTATCTTGTCTGATCTATAGAGAACAAACATTGAGGTCTGCAAGAAGGTACATCTAATTTTAATCATCCCAAGTGGAAATCCCCACTGTGGAGTCTCCAGAGAAGAACCAGAAAGTGGAGGTCATTGTAGGAAAACCGTTAAGGGAGATCACTGCTGCGTGAAACAGCCTCTCAGCGGCCGCTTCATGATGCTGGGTGAAGAAGCCTACACTGCCACAAGTCAAAGCTACTTCTGGGGTAAGTGTTTTTAAACTTCCCATTTCTGAAAACTCAAGAAGCTGCGTTTTAAAAGAAGAAGAAAGAGAGCTTTTAATTAACTTGCCAAATTAACTTAACTCTAGGTCATGAATTTTCAGAAGTCACAGCGAGTGTAAGAATAGAATTGGGAAGGCACCACATTGTGATTTCAGGCCCATTCTGCCAAATCTGAGTTTAGCTCAACAGAGAGCTTCTTGAGACAAGCAGTTCTAAAATAAGTTATCGCTGGTCTGAAAATAATGCATATCCCATATTCTCCAACAGAACATACTGCTTTGTGAAATTCCCCAAAAAATAGAGCAGTTAAAGACACTGCCAGGAATAAATGCCATCACTTTTATTTTTAAGCAAGGTATTCATATTTCCACAAAAGTTTACTCTAAGTTTTAAAATGTAAAAACAGCCACTTTTATGTGTATTCTTTAAAGCTCAACTAAAGGGACAACTAATTTGTGCTTCACCTTTTCATTAATGCATCCTCTTTTTCATCTTTTCCCCATTTCACGTTATTCATGAGCTGATAAAGAGACAACAATGATCCTGGTGACCAGCACTCAGACAGGCTGCCTGCCACGGGAGCTCTCCAAATAGGTGTTCAGAGGTCAGACGTCTTGTAACCCACCATGGTGCCCACTCAGAATTGGAGACTTCACAGATGACAGCCATCGTCTTCAGTGACTATAAGCACTCAAGCTTTCTTATTTGTGCATGCTTACCTTTTGGCCATCTTTCCCTGGTTCTCCTTTGTAACCTGGAAGTCCACGCATTCCCTAAATTAATAACAAAGTTAAATTATGTTAATAATATTTTGGTTCACTAGAAATGAGATCGCTAACATGTATGAACAGACCACATACTTGTATTCCTGGCGATCCTGGAATGCCTGGTGATCCTGAGGTTCCCTGATAACCCTAAAGAAAAAGTTAATGCATCATCATGTTTACAAAAAGCAGCTCTCTTCTCCAAGAATAACTCCTCTCAAGTTTTGTACACCTAAAACTTCACTTAGAGACTTTTAAAAACTCAAAATACATCAAATACTTAATAAAGAGTTGATATCCCATTTTCTTCATTAAATTCTTTAAAAAGTATAAGAAAAGATCTTAAAAATTCCTCCATGAATGCTTCAACTGAAAGGAAATATTTGGAATGAAAATGCAGAAGCAATGTTCTACAAATACAGAACTCCTACACAATGTCCTGCATACTGCGGACATTTTTGATACATTCAAGAGAAAAACTCTCTGATTAATGGATTTCTGAATTAAATGTTGGGCTTAAGTAAACCTTGATGAATAGTATTATCTACCCCATACTTATAATGTTTTGATTGGTAAATTTAGAAAGCTGCTGATGTTAAGTCCAAGAAAGGGCTATGATACATCTGCCCTACTCCCAAAGGCTGAAATTTCTGCCAAGGGCAAGAGGGGAAAGGAGGCACTTAAAACTCCAGGGCTAGAATAAGCACTGGCCTGGTAAGCACAAAGTCCTGAGTTCAATCCCCAGTACTGAAACAAAACAAAACAGTGCTTCTTTACCTCCCTCAAGAAACTAGACCCTTGTTAAAACAGCAGAACTCTTAGAGCCAAACCCTTTATTCTTCATTCACTACATGGCAACTCACAGAACTCAAAGGCCCTACACCTTTCCCTAGTTTTCTCAGGGGCAACATTGGGTTAACTCAAACTGATTTGCACCTGTGAACACATTTATAAGCCATTTAGAACCCATCCTTCTTGATCTTTGCTATTTGGGAACAAGTATCTTCAGCCAACAAGAGCAATTCAGATTTTATTAAAAGTCCTACTTACAGTGAGTAATACCTATGTTCACAAACACTTCTATTCACAAACCAGTTCTCAAACAAAAGCATTCAATAAAATTTTGCCTCTGCTCACAAATTCCACATTGGGTGACAAACACAACCACAGGCATCTTTCCTACACCAATACAAATGTGGTCAACTTCCCCAAAGCTGTACAACAAATTAAGTTCATGAACCAAGGTACCACCATACTTGTTCATGCTTAAATCCAGAAACCTCATTTCCATGTGGCTATTCATGAAGTCTGCATGGTTTTTTTATTCCTGCACCTCACTATCAGCACACTTAGTTATAAAGACATCATAATTCCGTTTTTCAAATATTCTTTCTAATGTCCTTTGCTAGCTATGACAGCAATAATAATGTCTGTCTCTGAAAGTTGAGCCTTAGATTATTGACTTTCTTTTTGACCCGCAGTCACACTTCTTGTTTGGTACATGCCTTCTTGCTTCCAGAATGACTAAGGAGGTTCTGTATGTGGCAGCCCATGTGGTGCATTACGCTTTCCATTGTGTTAGGGCTTAGATCTAAAATGTCCCTCAAGGCCTCACATGCACACAGGAGGGGCTTTGGAAGGGGATTTTGCTCTGGTGTTTAGAGCTGGCTTGCTGTTAGGAGGGGGGGTCTGGTGGAAAGAGGCACATCTTTAAGGGTTTGGCCTCAGAAGATGTATCTCGCTTTCCAGATCCTCCCTCCATACCCTCTGCCTCCCGTCCACCACACTGTGAGCACTCTCATGCACCACGCTCCTCTGCTGCACTGTGCTGCCTTGGACCCAGCTGGCTATGGACTGAACCCTCTGTATAGTTTGAGCCAAATAAACCTTTCCTCCTTGAAGTTGCATATGTTGAGCATTTTGTCCCAGTGATAAATGATAAACTTTTCTCTGGAGTCTTTTTATCCAATCCTCAAATATTTCACTTTACTATATAACAATAAGTCTAATAGCCCACTTCTCCAGACACCATACAAAACACCCTGCAGTGTTCAAAACCACCATCTGCTTTCAGGACTGGTGCTGGCCCTGTGTCAGTGCATTGTGCCTCTGAGATGTGGGACCAAGCCCAGCTCATCTCTGTCATCAACACTAAACACAGTGTATGACACATTTTTGTTGATCAAACACTGTATTAATGTACTTTTAAGTCATCTGCACTGTACACAAGTAAATCTAATCTTTGTCCAGTGAACTGCTACATTTCTACAATAGTACATTCAGACTTTCAGTAGTATAACATGATTCATACTGTTAAGATCAGTCAAGAGAAAAAACAAGACCAATACAATAGACCTTGCTCATATTATCCCTCTACCACTTCTATTATTTCTGAATTTCTTTCATTCAACCATTTCAGAATAAGACCACAAACTGAATCTCAACTCTGTCACTCCTATCACTTTTCTCAGATAGATTTCTTATTAATACCATGACTTAGCATGTCTTTAAGATCCTTTGTAACCTATGCACCATGTGGATAATCCAACATGATTTATGATAGACTATTGTATTTGGGGGGAAATAACAGTAGCAATGATTTACATGCATGTATTTACCATGTTTAACCCTATGTGATTTATATTTAATAATCCATATAATCTTATAATCACCCTTAGTCACAGGTTACAAATTATCCCCACTTTCAAATGAGAAAACTAAGACACAGAAGCTTTAATGTCTTGCTCCAACTCATGTAGCTCATAAATTATCCAAGCTAATGGGAAGAGGGAACATGTTTTATCAGAGTGTCCATAGTGTACTACATATGATTGTTTCAGAATGACTCATCAGATTCAGAGAAGTCTATTTTTCCAGCTTCTTTATAAACTGAAATTCTGAGGGCGCAGAGGAAAAAATTTCATAAAATCCCTCAAAATAAAATTACCATGGAGACTGGTTATGGATCACAATGGCTGAGCATCTGCAAGCTCACATCTAATAAACTATTTTACTTTTGATTATTTTCAAAAGTTAAACCAAATTCTATTCCTATCTTATTGCATTGTTGAGATAGATGTAGTATTTTATTTTAGATTAAAAGCTGTTGCATTGTTTCTCCTCTTTGTAGCAAATGATGGTAGTATTTGTTATGGAGGAAACTCTGCATCTTGATACATTAAAACAATGTGGAAATTCCCTGCCCTGCCTTCCCAGCCTATTTCTGACTCATGATGTGACCTAAAGATGAGTCATTAGATCCCCAAATCCTGGGAGGAAACACAGTGAAGTGGAAAGACAATGAATTTCAAAATTGGAAAGGACCAAGGGCTCAATTTTTGGTCCTTCCTTAACTTTCTACGGGATTTTGGCTAAGTACCTTTGGGTGGAAATGTCCAGTTTCAAACCACAAGATGGGATGATAATATCCATTTTAACTCTAGAATAAAAGAACTATAGTCACAGGTAAGATTTTGATGCCTGCCTGGCAAGCGTGAGGTCCTGATTTTGACTCCAGGTACCAAAAATCAAATCAGTCAACCAACCAAGAACAAACACTTTCAATAAGATGCGTTCTTGAAATCTTAGCTACAAAAAGACCTTGAATGGTTATTCTAGAAGCTAAAGGAAATATGCTTAGTAACAAAATAAAGAAAACCACAACCACATCCAAGCTGGGGGATCCTCAGGCAAAACACCAAAAGAAACTGGATAAAATTCAGGAAAAAAAATGTTGGACTAAAAAAAATCACAAAAATAAAGGTTAACGTGGAACAATATTACAACACAACAATTTCCAAGAAAAGGAAGAAATAAAATATTGGCTGACTCCCCATAGAGTACAATAAAACAAGAGAAATGCCCTAAAGAATAAATGATAAACTTTTTATAGTCTAGTGAGCATTCATTTTTCTGAAGATATAAATTGTTTCACTACTGTAGAACTACATTTTTTTTTTTTTTTTTGGTGCAAGGTGAGCAGGGTCTACAGGGTCTCACTACGTAGATCGGACTCATAGTGATTCTTCTGTTTTCAGCCTCCCAAGCACTGGGATTACAGGAGTGCGCCACTGCACTGTCTCAATCACCATCTCAGCACGCCCCAGGGGCGGGGCTGGCAAGGCACACCACACTGGGGATCGAACCCAGCCCATGTGCTCTGTCTAAGCAGGTGCTTTAGTCTGCTGAGCTATCTGGCTGGCCCTTAGAACTGCATTTTTAACCACAATCTCTGGCTGATTAACATCATTCAATGTGAATTTTACCATTTTGCCACTATCAGTAAATCCAAATATTTACCCTAACTAACCCCATCTGTGACTTTTTACAGTACTGAAGTTTTTTTTCTGTGCTCACAGAAAGTGTGTTTTTTTTTTTTTCCAGAAAGTCTTTTTGTAAATGAGACTTTTTTTTTTTTTTTTTTTTGAAAAAGCTATTTTCACTGCCAAACTGTAGGGTTGAAGAATACAGAATCAGTTTAATTTTCTTCTATGATTTATAGTTACAATGCTCCTGGAAAGATGTATAGCAATGAAATAGATACTAAGAAAACAAATTTTACAAATGTGCAATATTCACCATATTTTCTCAGTCTAATCCTAAAACCCTAAGATACTCTGCCAAGTTAAACATTATATATTTTTCAAAGCAGCGAGGGGGTAGTTAAAATGGTTTCTTTAAATATTCTAAACTTAAAAATGAGAATAAAATCGCGATAAATCATTTTGGATGTCACCCTTCTTTGAAAAATGGAACATTGTGATTTAAAATTTATTCTACTACATAGTCTTCTTCCAACATTCTCCAAAACTCCAAGTGATAATCCTTGGAACAGAGCCAGGGTAACTTGGTAAACAAAATCAAGAGTGCATTTCAATTGTCCACGGTGGTAATGGGTGGTAATTCCTCTCTCACTGGCAGACTCCTAAGCACTGCGCAACTACTATCAAGAAAACCCAGAGACCTTTGCCTTTCCATGTATAGAACAAGGTAGGGTGAGCCACGTCCAAAGAACTGAAAGGAGAAAGTACATGATGTATGCACGTGCAGCTTGTGGGTTTTATGAAGAACCGTGATCTTCATCCAAGCCCTAAAATAGTTGAGAGCTGGGCTCACATGGTCAGTTGGGAAGATCACCAGCTAGAGGACAT